AGGTAGTGGTAAACTTTGTAAAGAAGCACATCTTCACAATCTTTGGGACTCCAAGGGTGCTGATACGTGACGGAGGAACTCACTTTTGTAACAAGTTGTTGGATAATGTTCTAGCAAAGTATGACTTAAGCACAGGTTTCTACCATCTATCACTCCCAAACGAGTGGTCAGGTGGAAGTGTCAAACAGAGAGGTGAAGAATATTCTGGAGAAAACGGTAAGTGGAAATAGGAAAGACTAGGCTGGAAAGCTGGACGACGCATTGTGGGCATATCGCACTGTATACAAGACCCCTATAGGTACTTCTCCTTACAGGTTGGTTTATGGGAAGGCGTTCCACTTGCCCGTTGAGCTTGAACACAAAGCCTATTGGGCGGTTAAAAAGCTAAATATGGAGTGGACTTTTGAAAGTTGTGGTCTTAAAAGCTTAAGGGGTAAAAGGTTTGTGGGGCCATGCCATTTGTGTGGCTATAAAAGCTTCTCATTAAGGGCAAAAAGGGCAAAATGAAGAGTTTAAAGTTGAATTATTTCCAAATTTAGAAATGTGTCATTTGTTTTGGAACAGACTAAAAAGGAAAGTACCTCATTTAAGATGAAACGGACGGAGTAATAAAATTCTACTTTGGAAATTTGGCAAATAATTTCCCTGAACACTAAACTTTCCTCTTTAGTTACCCTTTTTTATAGGCTACTTTCCTCTCTGGTTACTGTGGTGTTTTAGCATTAGATTAGTATGATGTTGCAACAGCATATTTGAGCTTCCGACATACTTAAGAGATGATGTGTTACTTTCTGTTGAACTCAAGACACTCTATCTATCATGAGGTTTATATGATGTCTTACGTCCTTGCTGCAGTAAGTAGTTTTGGCTTATTTGTTTTTTATTCAACTCTAAGTGTATGAACTCATGTTGGTTATTATATATTCTTTAAAATTTTGTAGCTATTTGGAGCAAATAGAACAATCTGTATGTCATTGAATATATTTTTTGTCTAATCAGTTATGCATAATAGTTGTGCAATCATTGTTCACTGTGGTCATCGTACATATTGTATGATGCAAGTTAAAATCTCACTGAAGACAAAGTGTGATAAATTAAATTTTGTTGTTCACAAGCACTCCGGACATGCACACAGGATAGTGGCTGTTATAGCATTTACATTAACAGAACATTGTGAATTCTTCAACAGCGAGGAAATAAATCTTAAGAAAGTTTACTTATTTTTTCAAATTGGCATTCGGTAAGCTGACTACCAAATGCTAATTGTTGAATCAAGCACTAGTGACAGCTGTGTACAGCTAATTATATGTAATTAGTTAGTGGTAGTTAAATAGAGTTAGAATAGTATAAAATGTACAGTACTCTTCAGTTTATCAGTTTGAGAGAAAACAGAGCATAACTGCTCATTCTTCTCCAATTTTTTTCCTTCTCTCTCTGATCTTCATCGCCATAGCTTAGAGGTGAATCTCGAGTTCATTATGGTATCAGAGCTTGAGTTAATGATCTAGATCATTTGAGTCTAAATCCAGATTCATCTTCCTTGATTTTTTCTGCTAGTCATTCGTTTGAGCTTGAGCAATTGCTTCGATTCCTAAATATTAGGGTTAGATCGATTTTGAGAAATTGACATCTGTGTGATTTAGATTTCTGTTGGCAATGGCGATTACTGGAGAAGACAATGGATCGACTCGCGAAGAGGTAGCTGCGGAACTAGTGATTGCACCAGTGGTCGATCAGCATCATCCACTATTTCTGCAACCAAGTGACACTCCAGGTAGTTCTCTCATCTCTGTCAAGCTTACAGGACTTGAGAATTACACTTTGTGGAGCAGTACTATGCGTGTTAGTCTGTTAGGCAAAAGTAAGCTAGGGTTTGTAGATGGAAGATATCCAAAAGAGAAATTCCCTCCTGTTCTTCACGAACTTTGGGAAAAATGTAATGCTATAGTTCTATCATGGATTATGAACTATGTGAGTGCTGAATTGCTAAGTGGCATGGTCTATGCTTCAAGTGCACACAAAGTGTGGATGGATCTCAAAGAAACGTTTGATGAAGTCAATGGTTCTAGAGTGTTATATTTGCACAAACAAATTGCAACTCTGGCCCAAGGACTGTCTACTGTGTCTGCCTATTTCTCGAAATTGAAGGAACTATAGGCAGAGTTTGATGCTCTTATGCCCTGCCCTGGGTGTGGCTGTGAAGAATCAAAGAAATATGTTGAACACTTTGAGTACCAAAGGCTGTTACAGTTTCTTATGGGTCTAAATGAAACATACTCTCAATCAAGCAATCAGATCTTGAATATGTCTCCTAGACCTTCCATAAACAAGGCTTACTCAATGATTATTTCTGAAGAAAGCAGAAGAGCATTGTCCCAGTCTTCTCAGGTTTCAGAAGTTACTGAAGGTACAGCCTTGTTCAGCAACAAAGGAATACCAACTGGAGCTTCAATGCAGCTGTATGCAAAAGGAAACCATGGACAAAATCACAGCTATGTGGGAAATGACATGACAGCCTTGTTTAGTAACAAAGGGAATGCAGGAGCCAGCTATGGTCAATCTGGAGGAGGAAATCACCCAAATTCTGGCTATATATCTAAGAGAAACAACCTACATTGTGACTACTGCAACTTTAAAGGCCACACTAGGGAGACTTGTTACAAATTGAATGGATATTCATAAGACTTTAAGTCTAAAAGGAAGGGTGGATTTGGGAATTCAGTTAACTATGCTCAAGTCAATGCTAGCAACTATGTGTCTGATAATCTCACTAGCCCTGCACAAGCAAGATCTACAGCTAATTTTGCAGGAGTCTCACAGGTGGAGCAGATGCAACAAACAAGTCAGAACCTTCAAACTGGAATTCCTCAATTCACTCAAGATCAGTACAACCAGATTCTTCAACTTCTAGGAAAACAACCTGAGTGCAGTGGATCTGCTATGGCAGCAGGTATGCCATTTTGTGGTGATATTACTAAAATTCTAACAAAATAGATTGTAGACTCAGGGGCTTCAAGTCATATGGTGAATGAATCTAGCTTATTGATCAATGCTAAATCAGTTGAAAGCAAAGGTGAAAAAGTTCACTTACCTACTGGTAGTGTTACTCATGTTAGTCACATAGGGTCTGTTGTTTTCTTGAAGGACCTAATAGTGTCTAATGTGATGTATATTCCTGACTTCAAATACAACCTTCTATCTGTGTCCAAGCTCACAAAGGAAATGAGATGGATTGTTATGTTCTTCCCTGATTTCTTCATTTTCCAGGAGCTCTTCAGTGGTCAGGTGAGGGGGATTGGTAGAGAGGAAGATGGACTATATGTGTTCAACTCTACTCCAAAGAAGTCAGTGGCACTACAAAGTCAAGATCAAGGTTCTGTAGCAGACATCTTGAAGAGTCCAAGGCAAATAAACTCTGTAAATGCAGTAAAAGTCTCAAATAAAGTAGTGAGTATAGCTGTGTGGCATAAGAGATTGGGCCATGCACCCTTAGATACTCTGCAGAAATTGAAAGGGTCCAGTGACTTTCAGTCTGTTGAATGTAGTAGTAACGACAAGCATTGTACAGTGTGTCCCCTAGCTAAACAAACAAGACTACCTTTTTCTCTTAGTTCTACATCCTCAAAGTCATGCTTTCATACAATTCATGCTGATGTTTGGGGTCCTAATAGAGTTCCTACCTATGATGGAAAAAGGTATTTTCTGACCTTGGTAGATGACTGCTCTAGGTATACATGGATTTTTCTTCTACCTACTAAAGCTGAAATTGTTGTTGCTCTGAGATCTTTCTTTGCTATGATCAAAAATGTATACTCAACATCTGTTAAGTTTCTCAGATCTGACAATGGATGTGAATTCTTCAATACTCATATGTCAAAAGTACTACAATCTAGGGGATCATACACCAAAGTTCATGCATTTATACTCCTCAGCAAAATGGAGTTGCTGAAAGAAGGCATAGGTATATTCTAGAGGTTGCTCGAGCACTCAGATTTCAAGCTTCAGTACCCTTAAGATTCTGGGGAGAATGTGTGAGCACTGCTGTATATATCATCAACAGGCTCCCTTCAATTGTTCTTCACAACAAAACTCCTTTTGAGATTCTGGTTGGGCATTCACCTTCTTTAGAACATATGAGGATCTTTGGATGTTTAGGCTATGTCACTACAGTTAGAAGACCTGACAAATTTGCTCCTAGAGCTTATCCTGCAGTCTTTCTTGGTTATTCTGCTACACAAAAAGGATATAAAATGTTTGGTCTTCACACAAAGGAGTTTCATATTAGCAGGGATGTGGTGTTTATGGAGGATATCTTTCCTTTTCAGCACTTGACCTCATCTCCCTCTTCCTTATTTCCTGTTCTAGATGTTTCTACTACTCCATCAAGTAGCCCTGCGAATATTCAATTTCAACCTGTATCTTCTATTCCTTCTTCTTCTATTTCTCCCCATTCTGCTGATCCTTCTATACCTCCTTCTCCTGATGCTTCTCTTCCTATCTATCCTGTTGCTGCTGATGATTCCACAGTCCGTGATACTCCTGTTCCTTCTGCTACTGAGGTACATGATGCCAACAGAAAGTCCATTAGGGTCAGCAGGCCACCTATATGGATGAAGGACTATATTGTCCCTGGTAAAGGCAGTGCCCATTGTTGCTATCCAATTTCAGATTGTGTCAGTTATGCCAATGTGTCACCCTCTTTTGGGGCTGCCTTAGCTGCTTATTCTACCATAGTGGAGCCTAAGTCCTACTCTGAGGCTGTCAAAGATGCCAAATGGGTTGAAGCAATAAAGTGTGAGATATCAGCTTTGGAAGATAATCACACCTGGACAGTGGCTGATCTGCCTCCTGGGAAGGTTCCCATTGGTTGCAAATAGGTGTTCAAGGTGAAATATACCTCCTCAGGTGCAGTGGAAAGGTACAAGGCTAGGCTTGTAGCCAAAGCGTATAGTCAGCAGGAGGGGTTGGACTACACTGGGACTTTTTCTCCTGTAGCCAAAATGGTTACAGTCCGGTCAGTCCTTGCTATTGCTGCAGCAAAGCATTGGGCCATTTTTCAAATGGATGTGCACAATGCTTTCCTTCAAGGTGATCTCCTTGAAGATTACATGGAGGTCCCTCCAGGGTTTGCTAGCCAGGGGGGAAGCACAGTGTCTGCAAACTCCATAAGTCTCTCCATGGGCTTAAACAAGCTCCTAGACAATGGAATAAGAAGCTGACAGATGCCTTATTACAGCTTGGATTCACTCAAAGTCACTTTGATTACTCATTGTTCACCAGGAAAGTGGAGTCTGAGCTAATAGTGGTGCTTGTCTATGTGGATGATTTACTTGTAACTGGGAGCAATCAGAGATTGATTCTGCAAACCAGAAATGACCTGAAGTTGAAGTTTAAAATGAAAGACTTAGGTGAGCTTAAATTCTTTCTTGGAATAGAATTTGCTAGATCATCTAAAGGCATTGTGATGAGCCAAAGGAAGTATGCCTTGGAACTCATTGCAGAAATGGGTCTTAGTGGTGCAAAACCTGCTGGTACACCTTTGGAAGCAAATGTAAAACTCACATCTGAAGAGTATGACAAATTCATTCAAAAATCAGTCCTCCCTTGAAGCAGAAGACAAGTTGTTAGCAGATGCTGGAAAATATCAAAGGCTAATAGGCAGATTACTAAATCTTACTATGACTAGAGTGGATATTGCATATGTGGTGCAAGTTCTAAGTCAACACATGCACAAACCAAAGCAGTCACACATGGAAGCTACATTGCGAGTAGTGAGATATATTAAAGGTTCTCCTGGTCTTGGCCTTCTAATGCCATCTGGAGACTCAGGTAAACTAGAAGGCTTTTGTGACTCAGACTGGGGAGGATGTCTTCAGACCAGGAGATCAGTAACAGGCTACTTGGTGAAGTTTGGAGATGCATTGATTTCTTGGAAGTCAAAAAAGCAAGAAACTGTAGCAAGGAGTTCTGCAGAAGCAGAGTTCATGAGCACGGCCTCAGCAGTGGCTGAACTCACTTGGCTTACAAGGCTTTTCAAAGAGTTAGGAGTGGATGTTGAGCTACCTATAACTCTTAATTGTGATAGCAAAGCTGCTATTCAAGACACTCTATCGATCATGGGGTTTATATGATGTCTTACGTCCTTGCTGCAGTAAGTAGTTTTGGCTTATTTGTTTTTTATTCAACTCTAAGTGTATGAACTCATGTTGGTTATTATATATTCTTTAAAATTTTGTAGCTATTTGGAGCAAATAGAACAATCTGTATGTCATTGAATATATTTTTTGTCTAATCAGTTATGCATAATAGTTGTGCAATCATTGTTCAGTGTGGTCATCGTACATATTGTATGATGCAAGTTACAATCTCACTGAAGACAAAGTGTGATAAATTAAATTGTGTTGTTTACAAGCACTCCGGACATGCACACAGGATAGTGGCTGTCATAGCATTTACATTAACAGAACATTGTGATTTCTCCAACAGCGGGGAAATAAATCTTAAGAAAGTTTACTTATTTTTTCAAATTGGCATTCAGTAAGCTGACTACCAAATGCTAATCCCAACAGCTTGATTTCATTTACTATTTCTGTTTATCTTCTTAATTGATTTAAAGGATTGTGCATATATGTGGAAAGAATCTCAGTACATAAAATAAGTGTACGCATGTACAATAATGTTTGATGAAAAATTAATTTTTCCTATTTATGTCCTATATCAAATTGAAGATACTACCAGACCCAAATAGCTATTTAGTAGCTTATACTGATAAAACAACATGGAATAGCAAGACTTTGAGAACATCTGGGCTTTTACAGATTTAACAGCTTATCAATGTGAACAAAAAATAAATTGTACATCCGCATGTTAAAAGCTTCAAACTCTGATTCACGAAGACCAAGTGTGAAAAACAAACAATTAAAGATCTCATTGCAAACTTAATATTGAAATTTCTCTTCTTATTGAGAAAAGACACAAGGCATGGATGGTTTAGTTCAATCCGTACTGTCTAATTGAAAGCAAAAGCGGTTGTTAGTATTTAGTCGCAGGTTTCCCCAACTATTTCACAATCGAGAAAATAAACCCAAAACAATAGTAGAAATCAAAAAAAAATGCCTAATTCATTCAGGAATTGCCTCAAACACCTAAAGACAAAGCCATTGGACAAATTAAACTCTTTGTGCAATAAAGTCCTAACATGCCATAAAAAATTAAATAGAGAAACACGGTATGCGAAGAAGGAGAAGAAAACTCACAAGAAACAATGATCCAAACGGGAAATTCACAAAACTGCAAAGATGAGATCAATAAGCGCGAGGAGCCAAAAGGTGGAAGCTGGGAATTGACAGACGGCGGAGCTTATCTGATATTGGTGATACTGTGCTTATTATGAATCTTCTTCAGTTTGTTCTCTTTGTCGTTTAATTGATGCAAATCCTCGAGATGCACACTTTGTTGCAAAGTTATATTTTTTTGCCTT